CCCTCCTTTCCGGGATGGAATTAGCCAAGTTGAGAGGAGCAATTCCATCTCCCGGGTGGGGAGGGGCTGAGAGGGGCGGAATCGGAGTGGTGGAGATCTTTGTTTTACCGATCTCATACTTGTAGACTGCGTCAGTTTTTAAATCTCTTTCCCAGCCAAAATCTGATTTGATCCTGTGCGTTTTCTCATTTATTGTTGCGTTTATTCAGCAAAATTTAGTGAGTAGCCCCTGTGTGTCTGGCATTAGGTTAAAAGCTGGCTGGGCCAGGGATTTAGCTCAGTGGTTCCACCGCCTGCCTCGTAAGTGCAAGGCCCCGAGTTCTATCCCTGGTACACAAAAAACAAACAAAAAAAGCTGGCAACTATTAGTGCTGGGCTATAGAGAGAATTCGAGAGCAAAGATACATGTTCTCTCTCTCCTCCCCCCCTTCTTCCCTCCCTCCTTCCCTTGGCCCTGACACTTACTGTGTGGTTTTAGGGAAATTGTTTAAACTGCACCTCAGGTCTCCCACTTGTAAAGCAGAGCGTGTGAATGAAACCTCGCAGGGTTGTGGAGAGGATCGAGTGAGACGATTTGCCGAAAGACCTTTATAAATCCTAACAGTACTGTGTGAGCGAGTGTTTGTTATTGGTTAACTCCGACTTGTTAGTTGCTTCATTCATTCAATAAGCATATAGGTGTTTAAATTATTTCATTCCTTCGGCTGAGTATGAAATCTGGAGAATTTGAGTGTCTTAGTTCTGCCAGCTGTGTGATCTTGAGCAATAATTTAACTTCTCTGTGTCATTTCATGGGCTGTAAAGTGGGGGGGGGGTCGATACCGACCTCACAGTGTTGAAGGAGCAGGGAAGAAACCACAGATGAAAAGTGCACAGCTCAGTGTGAATAAATGATGGCTAACATTGTATTTAGGGCAGATTCCTTGGTTCTCATGCTCACTGCAGCATTTCTATTTCTGTGGCAGTTTCTCCTGTGATACCCGGTTTAGTACTGGCACACCTGGGCTCTGAAGCTTCTGTTCCCCTCTGAGAAGAGAGGGTGAAATGGGCTAGTGGGACAGGGAGGACAGTGTGTGCTGAGCACGTGATCAAGCAGTGGCCAGGGTCATCTGACTTCTGCTGACCCCGGGACCCTGACCTCTGGCCTCCTGGGGCATCCTGGTCCCAGAGCACTCTTGCCCGGAGATTCTCTCCGGCGTGGGTGTTGTCCTGACCTGCCAGGCTTTCCAGAGGCAAGGGCACTGTGCCGAAAGGGCAAGCGCAATGAGTCTCCAGTCTTTCCCTTTGGGGGGCAAACAGAGGCTGGCAAGTTGAGGTGCAGGCAAAGAGGACCGGGGCTCCCCAGACAGCTGGAAGCCTAATGACCGGGAAAGGATGGTCCAGGAAGAGGTTCAGGGGGTGGTGCTCGGAGAGGCTAGGGCTCCTAGGTTAATCATCTCTGTGGCTCAGATAAGCCTTTGCCAGCTGGAAGCAGAGTCATTGTGACCAGAGGGGTTTGTGTGGCTAAAGAGGTAGACAGGACGGCGTGACCACAGCAGGGGACCATGCCAAGCACAAAACGGTTCCAACATGTGATTGAGACCCCCGAGCCTGGCGAGTGGGAGGTGAGTCCCCTCTTGATTTTGGTCTTCTGCACTGATTCCTAGAATTGCGTTTTTTTAACCTGGCCTTCCCTCCTCCCTGGGTTTTTGTATGCTCTCTCTCTCTCTGTCTCTCTCACACACACACACACACACACACACACACACACACACACACACACACACACACACACACACACACACACACCCCTTTCCTTCCCACCTTCCCTCCTGATCTTCTTTCCCTAACAGGCCTGGAGCACCAAGTGCAGGCGAAGTGCCTGGTGTGTTGCGGTGTGTGTCTGTGTGTCAGAGAGCATCCAAACACTGCTGGCTGCCACTCCCACCCCCAGCACAACAGGCACAAATGAAGCTTTGGCTTCTTGTCCCTATTTTGGTCTCCACGTTTTTGTAGTTGTCTGGGTACGAGGCAGCTGTGCCAATCACAGAGAAGTCAAATCCACTGACCCGGGACTTAGACAAAGCAGATGCTGAGAAAATCGTTCAGTTGCTGGGGCAGTGTGACGCGGAGATCTTCCAGGAGGAGGGGCAAGCCATGCCTGCCTACCAGGTAAACCTAACTCATTCCCTGGACACCAAATACAACGATGCCTTCCCCATCTCCACCTCAACCTCTGCCCTTCCAGGCCATTTCTCGCCATTTGGAAACTCTGAGAACCCTTTCTCCTCCCACTCCCATTTACCACCCTCCTTTTCTTGGCTTCTGATTGCGGCCTGTTCCCTACAGAGACTGTACAGCGAATCAGTTCTGACCACCATGGTGCAAGTGGCTGGGAAAGTGCAGGAAGTGCTGAAGGTACTAACCCATTTCCTCTGCCTAAACTCCTTTTTTTTTTGGTACCGGGGATCAAACTCCGGACCTTGCACTTGCAAGGCAGGTGGCGGAACCACTGAGCTAAATCCCCGGCCCTCTGCCTAAACTCCTATTTCCTTCTACTTTCTCTTTTTTCGATCACCATCTTTCACTTTTGTAGATCTTAGTTCTCTGTTCTCCCAGTCCTTCCTTTTAGATCCTTATTGTCATTTTATGAATCAGTAATAATTATAATGTTAGCTAAATAATGCTTCAGAATCAACAGTGCGCTTCCACACCTATTACCCTCTCACAAGCCTGTGAAGTTAATGTAATTGTCTCTAGGTTTTACACACACACACACACTCACGCAAGAGAAAACAAACACTGAGGAAAATCCCAATAGTTTGCTGAAATGCACCCAGCTAATAATTGTTGGATAATGCCACTTTTATTTTTAAATTTTTAGTTAGGTGACAGTGTTGCTGTCAGTCCCTTCCAGACTAAGTAAGGGACTGAGAAGCAGTTAAGCCAGAGATGGGAGTCAAACTCCAGTTTCTTTCTCCAGTCCAGTGTTCTCTCTGCTGCACCACAGGGCCTGTATTTTATTCAGCTTTGTGATGAGAGGAGAGATAAAGGAGGCCCATTAAGTTCTCTTCCTTGACTAACAAAGAGAAGAACGTATTTCCCTTGGCCTAGCTGGGCCTTGGTGACTGAGGCATCTTTCCTTCCTCAGGAGCCAGATGGGGGGCTGGTGGTGCTGAGTGGAGGGGGCACCTCTGGCCGGATGGCATTCCTCATGTCGGTGAGTACCCCAGGCCCGTCTTCATCAGTACCCTTCTGGGGATGAGCCCTAGGACCATAAACCTCATCGTAGTTGAGTTTCTAGTGGGCCCCGTTAGACCTGGGCTCCAGGTCTCACTCTCTTTCTCTTCCCACCATAGTCCCATTTCTCCTGAGCCCACTGGGACCCCACCTTTCTATTGCTAATGTCCCTACACCACACCCCTCCCTAATTAATCTTCTCCACATAACATCTGCAGAGCAGATTCCAAGTAGGACTGGGTTAAGCACTGCCCTAAGAGAATCATTCTGTAGCTTCCTTCTGCTAGGAGTTAAAAATCCAAGTTGTTTCTTCACTATCATTACTTCTTTTCCTTCTTTCACCCTTGACACAGGTCTCCTTTAACCAGCTAATGAAAGGTTTAGGACAAAAGCCTCTTTACACCTACCTCATTGCCGGAGGTGACAGGTAAGTCACCTTGGCCTGAGGTGTTTGGTTTGGGCTGAATATGTATTTTTCAGAATATTGAATTTGAATGACTTTAGACATGCAATTTGTTCAGAATGCCTCAGTCCCAATCACTCCTACTGCCCTCCACTCCACTTGAGGCACTGTTCTTACTTAGGCTGCCTGATTTGGCCCTTGTCGTTATTTGAGTTTTTCAACTCTGTGGAGCAAGCATCTGTAATGACTGACGCCCATTCGAGAATCGAACTCGGGACCTTCCACTTGCGAGGCAGATGGCGGAACCACTGAGCTAAATCCCCGGCTCCATGTCCTTGACTTTGAATTTCCCTTCTTAGGTCTGTGGTGGCCTCTAGGGAGGGGAAGGAAGACAGCGCCCTGCACGGGATTGAGGAGCTGAAGAAGGTTTGTACTTTCCACCAATATTCAACCACAGACCTCTGTTTGTTCCTCCTCATGGGGACAGAGAAGCCCCCAACACTTAGCCAGACCCTGTGCCCTCGCCTGGGTCCTGGCCCTGATGTCTTCACACGACAGGTTTGTACCCTGGAGTCCTCCCAGTTGCAGTACTTTGTCCATCCTCCTCTCCTAGGTGGCTGCTGGGAAGAAGAGGGTCATCGTCATTGGCATCTCGGCGGGCCTCTCTGTAAGCATGAAGATAGGTGGAGTGGGTCAATTTTACAGGGAAGAAGGGGATGGGAAAGGACTGGCAGAACACTTGTGCAAAGAATTTTCATTTTCGCTCATTTGGATCCGGTTGTACAAATGTGAGAATAGGGAGAAGGGATCCTGTCTCATAATAATTGTGCATCGATCAAATCAACAACCATAATAGTCGGACCAGTCCGGAGATCAGCAAACTGTACTGGCTGCCTGTCTTGTAAATAGTTTTGCCAACATGGAGTTGTTTGTATTTACATCTAGAGTCTATGGCCTCTTTTGTGCCACAGCTCTAGGATTTATAGTTGGACAGAGATCAGAGAGCCTACAAAAACTAAAGTTCTCTGGCCCTTAACAGAAAAGCCCGTCCCCCAGGCTAGCCCTTTGCTACTTAGCAATGATCCCTGCACCAGCACCAGCAGCAGCAGCATTGGGTGGGACTTTTGAGAAAATGCAGGATCTCAGACCCCACCCCAGATCCACTGAATCTGAATCTGAATTTTAACAAGATTCCCAGGGGTTTGTTTTGAGCAGCACTGCGCTAGGTGACCCCAAGTTCCCTGTCCACCCTGCAAGTTTCTGATCCTAAGAATCCAGTGAGCAGAAACCCAATCCCAGCTGGTAGGAGTGGAGACACACAAGGAGGGCAGCCTGCTGAACAATTTAGTTCAGCAATTTCCAGACTTTATTCTGTAGGAGATTTACCTTGCCAGTGCTTGATAAAAGTGTAGCTTTCTTGGGGCACTTGTTCAAAATGTGTTCCTGCTTCCAATTCAGATCCAGTGGATCTTTACTGGGCCTGGGCATTTCTGACAAGTATTTTGGGGGATTCTCATGCCCAGGGGCCTTAGGCAGCACTCAGAGTAACTCCTTATCCTGTCCTCTCCTCTCACTGCCACTAGGCGCCCTTTGTGGCAGGCCAGATGGGCTACTGCATGGACAACACAGCTGTTTTCTTGCCGGTCCTGGTTGGCTTCAATCCCGTGAACATGGCCCGGTGAGACTTCTGTAGGGACTGGCCAGCCCTAGGGTCGGGGGGCCATCAGATGGCACAATCACAGAGGAGAGGGCACATACATAAACTATGGGGACCCCTAAGCCGATGAGGTATTTTTGTTTGGTTGGTTGATTTAATTATTCTCTTCTTGTTTCAGAAAGCATTGCAGGCTGCATAAAATACTTTCAGAGCAGAGATTTAAAAGGCAAGGAAAAGAAGGGCTAGAGGAAAAAAATTGGGGTCAGGAAAATGTACACCAGAGATGTGTAGTCTTGTTTGGGCCAAGCCCATAGCATCTTTTCAAGGTAGTAGTGGTGCCCAGTGACCACCTCCTCCTCTTTGCCCAGCTCCCTTATTTTCACACCCGCTCTCCTCATCATTTGTATTACTCTTGTTTTCCTTTTGGCTGTTGAAATCCACCCTGCTTCCTTCCCTGTGCTACCAAACCACCTCCCTTATTCTAAGTTCCCACTTTGTCTGATCTCAGAGAAAGTCAACATATTAGACCAGTAGTGTGCAGCTGAGGTTCTACGTGTGAGTTGCTTGGGGACTGTTAAAAAAGAAAACAGGAAGAAGGAAGTAGAGCCAGGTGAGGTGGCACATACTTGTGATCCCAGCATTCTAGGAGGCTGACACAGGAAGATCATAAATTTGTGCCACCTGGGCAGTTTAGTAACAGCGCGATCCTGTGCTTGGATAAAAAGTAAAAAGGGCTGAGGATGTAGCTCAGTGTGAAGTCCCTGAATTTAAAAAAAGAAAACAGGGCCGGGGATTTAGTTCAGTGGTGCCACCATCTGCCTTGCAAGCGCAAGGTCCTGAGTTCCAAAAATAAATAAATAAAAATTAAAAAGAAAATAAAAGAGATAGATTGATTCTTAGTCCCTGTGTTAGAGGCCGAGTTTGTTGGTTCGGGATGAGGACTTGAAATATCCATTTTTAGAAGTCCTCCCTGGAGATTCTGATGTACAGCCAGCGTTGGGGGACTCTGCTAAATAAATCACTGGATGGGTCACCTGGTGACTGAGGGCTTCCTGTCATTGGAGGAACTGCAGCAAAGGCCTCCTGATTGTTTTAGAGCAGCCTTATTACTTATTACTGGTGGTCTCAGGGAGGCAGATGAGCTGTGGTGCTTTTCCCAGTTCCAGATTCTAGGCTTATAGTATAATTCAAACGAAGGTGTGAGTGAGTCTGAGACACTCCTAACCCCGATCATTTTGCTTGGAGGACTCTCCTCCACCAAAAATGTATTTGCTGCAGTTGATGCTAATTTCAGGCCCTGTGACTAAGTGAAATGAAGAATTTCAAACAATGTAGGCGTGGAGATCTTCCAGTTGTTCCTTAAATCATTGGCTCCCAAACGTGGCTGATCTTCAGAGTCATCAGGGAAGTGTTTAAAGGTACAGAGTTTTGGAGCCAGGCGTGGTGGCGCACTCCTGTAATCCCAGCACTCGGGAGGCTGAGGCAGGAGGATTGCTGTGAGTTCTAGACCAGCCTAGGATACATAGTGAGTTCTAGGTCAGTCTCAACTACATTACAAAAAAAAAAAAAAAAAAAAAAAGGTACAGAGTTTTGGGCTTCCTTCCAGAACTGCTGAATCTGAATCTCAGCCAGATGCACTGTTCACAAATGGACAGTAGTTATTGAAACAGAGCCAGCAACAGAACCCCCCAGATGATTTTGATGTCCAGTCAAGCTTGGGAATCTTGATTTTAATACAGACACCATTTCCTCTGTCTGTTTCAGTTTTGGTTTTTGGTTTTTCTTTTTCTTTTCAGTACCAGGAATCGAATTCAGGACCTTGTGCTTGCCAGGCACTGCACTGCTGAGCTACATCCCCAGCCCCTATTTCAGTCTCTTCTTACCTAGGTCTCTAGAAAACTTTAGAAATAGTTTGAAGCCAGGTACAGTGGCGCATCCTTGTAATCCCAGCACTTGGGAGTTAAGGAAGGATTGTCACAAGTTCAAAGCCAACCTGGACTACATAATGAGTTCAAGGCCAGCCTGAACTACATAGTGAGACCCTGTCTCAAAAACAAAACAAAAAGAAATAGTTTGAGGACAGTGAAAGGAGACATCACACAATGGTCGCGCAATATTAAAGATCTTCATTCTTTGAGACTGCATGATTTGTAACTAAGGAGGTAATGAGCCTGCGGCTGTCTTGAATTATTAACATATTACTTTGTTCCTGATTAATTCACTCAATGTTTCCCAGTCTCAAGTGCCACCACTTTTTACCTTGCTGCTCGGTTCCCTCACTAGGGACTGTTACCCTTCCCTCAGGCAGTGGCAATATTAAAGATCTTCATTCTTTGAGACTGCATGATTTGTAACTAAGGAGGTAATGAGCCTGCGGCTGTCTTGAATTATTAACATATTACTTTGTTCCTGATTAATTCACTCAATGTTTCCCAGTCTCAAGTGCCACCACTTTTTACCTTGCTGCTCGGTTCCCTCACTAGGGACTGTTACCCTTCCCTCAGGCAGTGAGATTGGCTCTTTGAAGGCATTTCCACTGTGAATTTCCGGGAACGGAAGGGCTTCTAAGTGACCCTAATATGGAAAATCAGACAGTGATTTGGATGGCAGGCAAAGGGGGTGTGGCCAGGCAGTAGGTCCTGTACTAGGACTAGAATACAAGAAGGTTCTGGTCTTGGGCTGGGACTTTAAACTTGAATGTCGGCTTTGTCTGGATTTCCTTTATTAACCCTGTCCTTGGGGTTCAGAACACTGTCCCAGGAGATGCCCCAAAGCATCTCTCTCTGTGACAACGGTGACCCTGATCACTGTCTCAGTGGGGTCCTTGAACCTGATTCCCAGCTGAGGACCCACCTTCAGATCCTCACAGACAACCCTTCCCCCTTTGTATCTCTTTGGACCCTAGAAATGACCCCATTGAAGATTGGAACTCAACCTTCCGGCAAGTAGCTGAGCAGATGCAGAAAATGCAAGAGAAACAGGAAGCGTTTGTGCTAAATCCTGCGGTTGGGGTAGGGCTGCTCTCTCCTTTCTCTGTGCCTTGCCCAAGCGTCTGGAAGTTGCTTGCCACTTGCTCAGGACCTTTGATTTAAGTTCTGTTTACCAAGTAAAGTCCTGAGGCATTTTGCAACAACTAACATGTTTTAAATGAAATCCTATTTTCCCACTTTCTTTTCGCCTTAAGGTGTTTCATCTTTATTCCAGCTCTGTCCAGTCAGTAGTCATTAAATACTCCAGTGATCTAGGGCCGTTTCTGTTTAAAGGAGTTTTCTCCTATTAGTTTACAGACACCCTTAACTAGGCATTGTTACGGCTCATTTGATGTCTTTTATATACAATATTCGAATTTTAAATACGGGCTGTAAAAATTGGAATGAATCAGCATGGTGGGAGGCTGAGGCAGGAGGATCACAAGTTCAAGCCCAGTCTTGGCTCAGGCATTGTCTCAACATGAAAAATAAAGGCCTGCGGTTGTCTCTCAGTGTGAAAGCCTTTGTTCAATTCCCAGTGCTGGGGAAAAAAAAAAAAAAAAAGATGCAGTTGTGTTGCTCAGCCTTTGTCGGTCCTCCCCTCAGTGGGCGGGCCTTCTTAGACTTCAAGGACCCTGCTCCTGTGGTCTCCTCTGGGTTGGGGGTCGCGTCACTACGCCCTCCGCCCGTACATGGAACTTAGCCGAACCCCTGCCCTCCTCTGCCGGTGGTGGGCTCATCTGCGATGCTGTCCTTGAGTTCCCTTGCGTGAGACAGGAAGGCGATGTTTCATGCCCCACCCGTGCTCATCTCTCTTTCTTCCTCTCTGCAGCTGTTGGCTGTCTTCTTTTCTCCACCGCTATTTTCACGGTTCTCTGCTGTAATCTTTGATACACCGTGTTCCGAATCTGTGCCTCGGCAGTAGGTGCTTCAGGGCTCTGTCAAAGCACATGGAATGTAGTGTCTGGGTTGGCGGGCTACCTCAAAGTATAGTGCTGGGGAAGGCGAGGAGAAAGTTCTTCGAAAAGCACTCTCTGAAAACCCTTAACCCAGCTGACAAGGGACTCAAGCACTCTGACTTCCTCTCAGAGAGGGCTGAACTATCCGAGGAGCAAGGAGAGGTGGCCCTTTCCTTCTCTCTTCTCCCCTAGGTGAAGATCCTCCAGCACACCTGCTCACAGCACTGTGGATGGGGGAAGCACCAGGGTTCCTAACCACAGCGCTTGCCTAGGGTCACTAACCCAGGTCACTAATGGAGTTTATGCCTGGGGTCACCAACCACCTTCCAAGCCCAGGGGCCACTAACTGGTGGACTCCGTGCTGGTCCTCTCCACCCCCACACCCCGGTGTCCGTGTCACTGCTTCCTCAGCCCGAGGGTCTCAGCGGCTGCTCCCGGATGAAAGGCGGAAGTACCACCAAAATCCTGCTGGAAACCCTGTTATTGGCAGCCCATAAGACGGTGGACCGAGGCATCGAAGCATCTCCAAGGTAGGGAGGGAGGCTCTAGGCAAGAGAGAGGCCAGAGCCAGTCTGTGACCCGGTGAGGTGGATGGGGGATGGCCGGTCCGGATCCACAAGCAGGCTTTTGAGAGTTGACCTTGGAACAGGTCAGCTCATAGGCTAGCGTGTGTCCTGCTGTACCCACCTTTATTCCCTGACCAGAGTCTCTAACCTGCCTGCCTTCCAGACTGCTCTTGTAGCTGCTCATCCACTCTCCTCAAGGCCGTCTCCGTGCCCTGCTTCCTCTTTCTGCTCTTCAGTTTTCTGCTCCAGTGCAGTCTGGCTCTCTTCTGTGCCTCCTCCAGGGACTAGCAGAACTTAGTTTCCTGGGAACTGTGCCTCCCCTAGCCAGGATGTCGGGGTGCCTATGCTTTCTGAGGGAGCTGCTGGTTTCTCTCCCAGATGCCTTCTAGAAATCCTGCGGACATTTGAGCGGGCTCATAAGGTGACCTACGGTCAAAGCTCCAAGATCGCCACCCTGATGAAACAAGTCAGCACCAGGTACGCGGATGTGCATTGGGAGGGGGCGCCGAGGGCGGAGGAGACAGACGGTTCACGTGGCCAGAGTAACCGGTCTTCGCTCTGGCTTCCCTGTTGACCCCCGTGTTCTCCCATATGTATCTCTGGCTTCTTTTTCATGGTGAACTCTCGTGTCCTGACCTCTGACCCTCGCTCAGCCTGGAGAAGAAAGGCCGGGTGCACTTGGTTGGCTGGCAGACCCTGGGCATCATCGCCATCATGGATGGAGTGGAGTGCATCCACACCTTTGGCGCTGGTGGGACCCCAGTCCTCACATTCTTCTTTACCCCTCCCGATCCCAGCCACGTGATCTACTATCCAAACCCTCCGCTGCCAACTAATGGAGAGTCCTTAATGTCCGTTCTGCCCTAGCGAGTGGGCATTTCAGTCAAATGCTTCTTCCTTTGGGTCCCAACTCAGTCCTCCATCCCCCAGTTCCCATCCCATGTTCAGCTGCGGTCTCTCACGTGGGTTACACCTCACCTCACATCCCGCTTTCTGTTCTCCCAGCCCCACTGGCGGCCCCCAAAGCCTGGAACGTTCCTTTCCTATAAGGCCCGTCACTTCTCTTTCCCTGTCTTTAAACTTCCCAGATTTCCGAGACATCCGTGGCTTTCTCATTGGGGATCACAGCGACATGTTTAACCAGAAGGCTGAGCTCACCAATCAGGTTGGAGGATGGGACTTGGGAAAGATGTGAGGATCACTGACTTGCAGAGGGTGGGAAGCTGGACGAAGAGGAGCATGATGGGATAATGAGGAGCATGATGGGATAAAGAGGAGCATGATGGGATAAATAATCTCAAGAAGCAACTATGGATTAGAGATCACCAGACTTTGGGGCTGTACAGGGAGCGTGGGGAAAGTGCAAGTTTTTGGATTTATCCTCAGAAACCCAGTTCCAGTCCAATGATTTGCTACATCATCTTGGGCAAAACACTACTTCTTTTTTTCTTTTCTGGCAGTATTAGGGATGGAACCTGGGGTGCTCCTCCACTCAGCCACATCTGTTTCTTTTCCTTTCTTTTTTTTTTGAGACAGGGTCTCAGTTTTTCACATAGCTGGTGTGGCAGACATGCACCACTATGCTCGTTTAAAACATTATCTATCTATCTATTTATCTATCTATCTAGTGGTACTGAAGTTTGGACCCAGGGACTTCTAAAATATTTGTTTTGAGACAGAATCTCACTAAATTGCTAAGTTGCCTGGACTAGGCTCAAAGTTGCAATCCTCCTGCCTCAGCCTCCCAAAGTGTTGGCATCACAGGAATGTGCCACCATGCCTGGCTAAAATGCTACCTTTGTAAACTCTGATATTTTTCACCTGTAGTCAAAAGCACTAGAGCTTGGGATTTAGCTCAGCAGCACTGTGCCTGCCTCACAAAAAAAGGTCCTGCGTTCAATCCCCACTACACTACCAAAAAAAAAAAAACAAAAACAAAAAACCAACAACAACAAAAAAACTTACAATTTCTTTAAAGGACTGTATTAGATGTCTCCTAAGGTCCTCTTCAGTCTGCAAGCTATGCTCTAAAGCATTCTCATGGGAGGGCTCTCCCACCCTCTTCTGCTCCAGGGTCCACAGTTCACCTTCTCCCAGGAAGACTTCCTGACTTCCATCCTGCCCTCCCTCACGGAAATTGACACTGTCATCTTCATTTTCACCCTGGATGGTGAGAGGGAAGATGGGAGTGGGGTGTGTGCAAGGAACCAGAAACAGCAGAGTGACTCAGAGAAGCTGCCATTTTTCTGGGTCTTGGGACAGCGGCTCAGAGGGAAGCTCAGGTGTGAGTGTTCTGATCCAGGGTGGCAGGAAGGACGTCTGCATGGTCCACCTTTCATCTCCACCTGTTTCTCAGATAACCTCACAGAAGTGCAGACGCTGGTAGAGCAGGTGAAAGAGAAGACCAGCAACATCCAGGCCCTGGCGCACAGCACTGTGGGGCAGTCCCTGCCGGTGAGGGTCCAGCCTTGAAAGGGGCCCCCGAGCGGCAGTCACAGCCTGGCCTTCCTGGACATGTCGCTTTGAAGGTCCTGTTTCTCTTCAGGCCCCTCTGAAGAAGCTCTTTCCCTCCATCATCAATATCATGTGGCCACTGCTTTTCTTCGAATACGAAGGCAATTTTGTCCAGGTATGGAGGATGTGAGGGTAATATTTGCAGTGAGGGGCTAAGAGGGGAAGGGATCCGGACATTAGAAAATCCAAAGCTGCAGGAGAGGAAGCTTGGAGGTTTGTCTGCCCCACACCAAGCCAGTAGATTCATGAGCTACCAGGTCACTGGGCAGTTTCCAAGGCAATGGATTCCTGGGTGTAGCTTGCTCTAAGAATATGTGAAAGGTCAGGATGGGCCACCAGTCACTTATGAGACATCCATTTGTCCTTTGGGACAAGTGAGTTGTCAATAGTATAGTCGTCATTATTATCCTGAAACTTAAGAGACACATTTTTTGGCAAGTTTCACTGGGCTGAATTCACTGATATATATTCCATGCTTGGCCTTGACATTATAATTCAAGACAAGCACCGATAATCATCCTAGAAATCGCAATCAGTTTGTGTGTAGCTTGCGGTTTAGTTTGGATCACGCATCAGAAAGTTTGGGTTCCAGGCCAGCTCTGCTGTGCGCCCCCCCGAAAAAATCTTCCGTTGCTAAGCTTTGCTTTTCCGTGGGGTGGGGCCAGGCCCTGAAGGGTTCCCTGGGGGAGATGTGACGCTCAGGAAGCTTCCTGACTTCACCCAAAAGCTCACAGGTTGCCTCACTGGACTACGCAGGCCGTTGTCTTCCCTTCCAAATGGTGTTCATTGTCACAACCCTCCTTCTTGGCAAAAACCTAACGTCACATTGGCCCTCTTTATGCTTTTTACCTCTCCACAACTGTAGGTGCCTTTATATTGTCTTCAGTCGTATAAAACATTTCATGGATGTTATGTCAGTTTCCAAGCATTTAGTTTCACGATTTCACAGCTAAAATGAAGCACAAGGGCCCGAGTTTGATCCCTGGCACCGAACAAAGAAAATGAGTGAAAATACCAAAGAGACCTGATGAAAAAGTACATGAAAGAAAACAATTAAATGGCCAACACACATCTGTAGTGAACAAACCCCGTGGTCATTAAGGAAGCGCAAATGAAAACAGCATGGAAAGGCTTTTTGTTTTGGTTTGTGGCTTTGGTGATTAGCAAAGGTTAAGGAGCTGAAGATGAGTGGAGACCTGCGTTTAAGTTGGTGCCACAGAACAAGAGATCTCACACTTCATTATAAGCCTCTATGAGGGACAATTTGGCCATGTGTGTCAAAAAGCTGTATAGCTTTACACACCCTTTGACCTAAGGTTCTGTTCTTGGGCACTTACCTTAGTGAAACTGGCAAAAGCCCAAAAGGTATGTGTATCAAGATGATCTTCGGGGCTAGGCATTTAGCTCAGTGGTTCCACTGCCTGCCTTGCAAGCATAAGGTCCTGAGTTCGATCCCTGGTACCAACAAACAAACAAACAAACAAATGATTATCTTCAGAGCATTCCGATAAAAAATAATAATACTTAAACTGACTCCATGTGTGTTTTTACATTTATATTTTTGACATAAACTGCACCCCACACTTTCATTTTAAAAAATTTCAAGCCCCAAAATTGCAGGAATGGTACAATGAACACCCGTATGCTTTTCCCTAGATCCACCACTCATTTTTTGCCTTTGCTGTATTTCTCTTTTCTCTGAATCATTTGAGAGAAAACTGGAGATACCGTAATACTTCACACAATTACTTCGGAATGTACCCCCTAGGAACAAGGACATTTGCTTATATGACTACAACATAATTATCCACTCAAGAATAAGACAATTAGTACAGTACCATTATATCCAAACCAAATTCAGACTCCCCAATCATCTCCCTGGATTGTTTTTCTTTTCAGCATCCAGGATCCAATCAAGGATGATGCATGTCATTTAGTTATGAGGTCTTTTTGCTTTCATTCATATTTCTCAGTGTATTTTCTTTTTCTTTGTCTGACATTGATACTTTAGAAGTCTAGGCAAATTGTTTGTAAGAGTATGTTTCCCTTTGGGTTGGTTGATTGTTTCTTCATTATATCCAGGTTAAATTTCTTGGCAAGAGTACCACATAATGGGAGTTGTGCCCTTCCAGTGAGCTGTGTCAGGAGGCAGCTGATGTCAGCTTCGCCTTTTATTGATGAGGTTGCATTTGGCCGCTTGGTGGAGGTGAGGGCTCTTAGGTCCCTGTCATCCTGTTGCTCAATGGTCAGTCTTTCACCCCTGGTATGAGCACCCATTGGTGACTCTTGCTTGAATCAGTTATTACAGTGGTGGTTTCTATTTATACCCCTTCTATCTATGTCGTTAATTGACATTCTTCTTCAAAGAAAAGCAACCTCTTGCTCTCTTTTTCTCCATCTACGTTTGGTTCGTGTCGTTCTGGACTCATAATGAGTTTTGTCGTTGTTGTTGTTAAGGTGTTTTAGTGGCACTGGTGTTTGAACACGGGGCTTTGGCACTGCTTCTTCGGCCCTTTTTCATTTTTGAAATTTTGAGACAAAGTCTCCCTAAGTTGCTAAATTCTGTGTATTCCCCCAAATAAGACTTGCCTGGAAAATAGGCATTGGCTGTTACCATGGTGATGGCCAGTGTTGTACAGAAGATTATACCTCGCTGCTCTCTTGCTTGGTGGCTACCCTGTAATGGCAGGTGAGGCAAGGTAATTGTGGCTGGCAATTTTTTTTCCTCTAGTTTTCAAGACGGATTATTTTTTGGTTGAGTTTTATTATCCAGAAAAATGCAGTTACACAGGATGGCCTCCAACTTGGGGTCCTCCTGCCTCAGCCTCTCAGAATTCTGGAATTACAGGAATGTGTCACCACACCTACCTTACTTGTTTCACTGTTATACTACAGTTGAGAGCTTATTCTAGTAGGCGCCCTGTGAAATATTCACATCCATATTCGAACACTCTTTGCTGTTTCTTTTTGAAAAACAAAAACAAAATTTTTTTCCTCTTGCATGTTTTGCTTGACAAGATATTCTGAAAATCTTTGACAATCCCTCCCTCTTTGTGTGTGTGTGTGCGTGTGTGTGTGTGTGTGTGTGTGTGTGTACAAGTCTACCTAGTTGATCTCCTACATAGGGTGTCTAGTTTGTTTCCAACATTTTGCTATCGCCAGTAACGCAGTGAGTGTGCGTGTGTTTTTACAGTGTTAGAAGTGCCTCTTGGGGTAAATTCTAGAAGTATTAGATCTGAGTCGATGGGCAAATACATATGTAAGCACAGTAACATTTTCCTCCACAAGGGTTGGACCATTTACTTTCACATCAGTGGTGCGTGAGATCGCCACTTCCGGTGGGCCACGCAGAGAGCGAGGCCCGGCTTGTGGGTTTAGTCAGAGCACCTGATAGGTGAGCAGTGCCGTTTCAGTGTAGATGTAGTGTCCTCTTGTATTTCTTTTATACATGAAGCTGAGCATCTTTGGCCTGCTTAAAGGACTTTAGTAAATCTTTTCCTTTGTGAACTGTTTGTGTGTCTTACTTCTTTTTCTAGTGAGTGGACTCTGATCCTTTGTTTTTTGTTGTTTTTGGTGGTGGTGGTGGTGGTGGTTTTTTGGTAATTGAAATCTTGTTTTTGTTATTTATTTATTTATTTATTTATTTATTGGTACTGGGGATCTCAGGCTCTTGCGCTTGTGAGGTGGGCACTAGAACCACTGAGCTAAATCCCCAGCCCCATGTTTTGTTGGTTTTTTGAGACATGGTCTCACTGTGTAGTTGAGACTGACCTGGAACCCACTATGTAGCCCAGGCTGGTCTCAAACTCACAGCGATCCTCTTGCCTCAGCCTCCTGAGTGCTGGGACTACAGGCATGCACCACCATACCCAGTAGCTTACCTTATGGTTTTTTTGTTTGTTTGTTTTTAGTTTTGGTTTTTTGATACAGGGTCTCCCTATGTAGCTGAGACTGACCTGGAACTCACTATGTAGCTCAGGCTGGTCTCCAACTCACGGAGATCCTCCTGCCTCAGCCTCCCGAGTGCTGGGATTACAGGCGTGTGCCACCATGCCCAGCGGCTTACCTTATGTTTAATTATAGATGTTTTATGGTACTTGAGGGCCCTGTAGAATTAGTCCTTCCATCATCACCCTTTAAGGTTTTTCTTGGCTATAATTGCATGTTTATTTTTCCATGTGAACTTTCAAACGAATGTGTCTAGTTCCATATTGTGTTAACTTTAAAACCCTTGTGTTACTGATAGTTAATGGCAAAAATGATTAGCAGTATCATGATAGAACCCGAACTTAATTGGACTGTCTCCTAGGGAGAGCTTGATACACAGCTCATAGGGTCAGGATATACACTAGCCAGCCTCATCGGTCAGATTTCTGTCATGCACTTATTAAATGTCTTCCAGTATGCTCTTCCAGGGATTTGTATGCCCAGCTATTCCAGGGGCTCTAGAATAAAGAGGTAAAAGTAGCAGCAGCCTGTTTCTTAGCCTGCTAGGACCATGTGAATCCCTTTAATACCTTCATTGTAATATCCCTATTGCCCTGCAAGTGCAGCAGTAGATGTTATAGGTGCCACAGAGCCTAAGGTGTGTGGGCCAGGGGCAGGCAGACTCACAGTACCCGTGAGTGTATGTTTTTGTTTTCAACATGTTCCCACACATTCTCTCACTGATTTAAATTCTGATTCTGTGTCTCACTATCATATGAACAAACTTATTCTAACTTATTCAAACTTATTCTAACTCACAACTAACCTCTTGTTTCCTCATACATACAAATGAGGATAGAAACACCCATTCCAAAAGGGTGCTGTAAGCTGGGCGTGGTGGCGCATGCCTGTAGTCCCAGCACTCAGGAGGCTGAGGCAAGAGGATCGCTGTGAGTCCAAGACCAGCCTGGGCTACATAGTGAGTTCCAGGTCAGTCTCAACTACATAGTGAGACCCTGTCTCAAAAAACCAAACCAAAACAAAACAAAACAACCCAAACAAACAAAAAAACAAAAACCCAAAAGGGTGCTGTAGGAGTTAAGTGGAATGCTTGTGTGTGTGTGTGGGTGGGTGGGTGGTATCGGGGATCGAACTCAGGACCTTGAGCTTGTGAGGCAGGTGTGGGGCCACTGAGCTGAATCCCTGGCCCAGATGGAATTCATTTTGCAACAGACATCCATCAGCAGCCAGCACCAGCCCTTGCTCAAAGGACTGGGGTTCTGGAGCAGAATTAGACACCATCTCTCCCTCCAAGACCTGTCATGTAGTGAATGAGTCCCAGGACTTCCGCTCTTCCTTGTCCGGTACCAAGGAACAAAAGGGACATTTTGGCAAGAGCAAAACCCTACAATAGAAGGAGTCAGACAGGATTTTGGTCTACCCAGTAGTCAGAAGCACGAGTGGGTGAAACTTGTTTGCCTGAAACAGTTCTGGTTTATACGCAGTGTCCTAAGATGTAAACCCTGGGCTGTTCAACAAATGTTCTGTACATTTTGGCCCCTCGTTTTCTACTCTTAGTTTCTTGTCCATCCTGCTGCTCTCCTGCCCTCTACTTTTTTTTTTGGTACCGGATATTGAACTCGGGTCTTTGCGCTTGCAAGGCAGGTGGCGGGATCACTGAGCTAAATCCCTGGCCCACCCTCTACTTTTTGATGGCCTCACACACCTGTCTTTTTCAGAAGTTCCAACGTGAGCTGAGTACCAAGTGGGTCCTGAATACGGTGAGTACAGGGGCCCATGTGCTTCTGGGGAAGATCCTACAGAACCACATGTTGGACCTCCACATCAGCAACTCCAAGCTCTTCTGGCGGGCACTGGCCCTGCTGCAGGTAGGAACGTGATGGCACAGCTCCAAGTCGTGGCTACCATGGGAGGGCATTTAGCGGAGGCCGGAGATGTGTAGGAGCGAGACCAGACTTTTCTCCTCCTCCGTTTATCAGGAGCATCCTCTCCTGGTGTGTGTGTCCAGATAGGCACACGAGTGTGAGCTGTAACTATTAGCCACAAGAATTCCAGTCACAAGCATATAACAGAAACCCAGCTCACATTTAAAAAAAAAAAAAAAAAAAAAAAAAGCAAGTGATTACTCGTGTAACTGAACAATCATAGGGCAGCCAGATGCCCTGGTGATAGAATCTAGAACCTTTAGCCCTTAGCTGTTTTCTTCTGTGCTGCTCTCAATCTCTAATAGATTTTCTCCACTAGAAGGCATAGTGATTGCATAGGGGCCAACCTGACATCCTGCCAATTTAGCGATTCTGGTGGGAGGAGAGCATTCTGTCCTTGTGATTCCCAGAAATGCTAAGGAAAAGGGCTCTCATTGGCTTGTGTGGGGGTCACATGAGCACCTGTGAACCAATCACTGCCCTCCAGGGGAAGGGGCACTTTTCCTTCAAGAAGTTTACTGAGGAAGGGGCCACAGGTAAGTTTCAGTCAGACCTTGTGGCCTGAGCATAGGGAACATTTCCCCAGAGGAAAATGTAAGTGCTGGTACCAGAAGGAGGAAGAGTTGCTGAGCAGATAGCACAAGGGATGGCCTTGAATGCTGCCATCCTTGATCTTAAGGTTGCCAGTTTTAGCAAAACAAAGAAACAAACAAAAAAACCAGTACATCCAGTTAAATTTGAATTTCAGATAAGTGCTTTTTAAGTATATGTACATCCCATGCAATAGTTGGGACATACATGATTTTTTTCATTATTTATGTGAAATTCAGTTTTAACTAGATGTCCTGTATTTCTGTTCACTAAATCTGGCAGCCCTATGCAAGAAGAATGGATCTGTGCATGTTTAGTGAGTACTCACCAGGCTCCTAAAACACCCTATGGAGCTTACTGAAAAGAAGCTGGATAGTTAATAAATGATAATAAAGAGAAAGCTTCACGGGAGAGGGGCTATTTGAGCTGGGCTTGGTGGTTATGATTGGGGTAGCTGCAGGGCAGAGAAGGGTTCCTGGTAGAGCCTTAGCCCAAGCCCAGAAGGGGGCTGGGGCATAGTGTGTAGGGTCCCGGGTCTGCCAGAGTGGAGAGTCCTCTTACAGAGTAGTGAGAGAGTATGAAGAGGAGGGATTATGAAAGGAGACAGGAGTTTGGACTTGTTAAATATAGCTGTGCTGTCCAAAATGATGGCCATGGGCCGGGGATTTAGCTCAGTGATTCCGCTGCCTGCCTCGCAAGCACCTGAGTTTGATCCCCGGTACCAAAACACAAAACAAAACAAAAAAAACAAAAACCAAAATGATGGCCACCAACCACATGTGGCTTTTGAGCCCTGGAAATGTAGCTAGACTGCCTGAGGAACTGCATTTTTATTTTATTTATTTACTTATTTATTTTGCAGTTTGGGGGGATCAAACCTAGGGATACTCTACTGCTGAGCTAAATCCCTGCCCCATTATTTAATTTTTAACTTTGAGCCAGGGTCTTGCTAAGTTGCCCAGGCTGGACTTGAATTTGTGATCCTCCTGCTTCAGCCTCCTGAGTAGCTGGGATTACAGGTGTGCACCACTATATCCAGCTGAATATTTAAGTGTATGTAAAAATGGAAGCAATGTAATTTTTCTCATTAAATACAATTTTATTATTTTGATAGGTTTTCATTCACTTTTTTTGTTGGGTTTGTTGTTGTTGTTGTTTTTGTTTTTTTTTTTTTTGAGACAGGATCTTACTATGTAGTTGAGACTGCCCTGGAACTCACTGTGTAGCCCAGGTTGGTCTCGAACTCCCAGCGATCCTCCTGCCTCAGCCTCCCAAGTACTGGGATTACAGGCATGCGCCACCATGCCCGGCTTCATGCACTTTTTAACATTGCAAATTGACCACGCAAATTGGGATATACTGTAGTTGTAAAAGATAGACCAGATTTTAGTACTTATTACGAAAAGGTTATAAATTGTCTTTCATCATTTTCATTATTGCCTACATACTAAAATACTTTTAATATATTGGGTTAAAAATACATCAATTAAAATTAATTTCACCACTTTCTTTCTATTTTATTTTTGTGAAAGGTCTTGCTATGTAGTTCAGGTTGGCCCTGAACTTGCAGTGCGCCTCCTGCCTCAATCTCCCAAGTGTTGGGATTACAGGTGTGCACCGCCACACCCAGCCACCTGTTTCTTTTTAATGCAGAAAGTAGAAAATGTTAAATTACATACATGATTTACATCCTATTTCTGGACCGTGCTGGGCTAGACAGAAGAAAAGTGACAAAATGGAAACGATGTTTGCAGATGTTTTGATTGCAGTGTCCAGGGTGGATTTGACCAGGGAGGAAGCGGGAGAGAGTTCAGTTAAAGATTAACCAATCTATGGGGTTGTTGGGACACAGTTGAAAATCTGGCCAATTTACCATTAATTCTGGTTTAGCCTAGCCAATCACAGGCCACCACCAGTCCCCGTGACCCCGTGTTTCTTAGCCCCTGGGGATTTTGAGACAAACCAGCCTTTGGGATCCCAGCCTCTGACTGTCCCAGCTCCTCCTCCTCCCTTGACCCTGTCCTTGACCGTGACCGTCCCACTCCGTCCACAGCGGTTCTCTGGACAATCCAAAGCGCTCTGTATCGAGAGCCTCCTCCAAGCCATCCACTTCCCTCAGCCACTGACGGATGAGATTCGGGCGGCTCCCATCTCCAGCCACATCCGGGTTGCGCTGGCGAAGGAACAGGTATCCTGCCCCCTGCTGGCCACTCGGCGACTGCGCGCTTCGTGAGTAGTGCTTTCCGGACGGTGCCAGGAACTTGGCTGGGCGCGGGTTTACAAAGCTCCGCGTCTTCTGCCCACAAGAAGCTTCTCTTTCATGGCTGAGGCCCGATTGTGATAAGTGGTCAGGGAGGTGTGGAAAAGGTGCAGAAAAGGGGTCTCCCATTCCGCTTTGGCTCCTGGCTCCTCCCGCCTCGGCCTTCGGTTCAAGCTGCCTCTCCCCACAGGTGATTCCCGTAGCCTTGCTGAGTCTCCTATTCCGCTGCTCCATCCCCACGGCTCAGGCGCGCGTGGCTGCAGCCCCCTCGGTGGAGGCCTTACAGCCGGCTGTGCAGTGACCTGGGGCCGCCGGGCGAGGGAAGGGCCCGGCCCCGGGAACTCGCCGTGCCATCTGCCTGTGGAGGGAGGGACGAGCGATTTTCTCCACCTGGGGCAGACAGTTCTTGCCCTTGACACAGTGGTTTCCACTTTCACTAGCTTATTCTGATCCTAGAAATAAAACCAAGCGTCTTGTTTTGGAAAATTAACCTCCGCGGTCAGTGAGACTCTTCGGTAGATCAGAGGTGGGGCAGGAGGGATGGCTCGGTGGTCCCAGCAGCAGATTCCTGTCTATAGTTATTCATCCGCATTAGCCAGTTGTCCAAACCGAATTCCTGAGTCCCCGCGTCCCTCATCTGCCACACACGGGTGCACGCGCACGTGCATACCCGCGCTTCCCAGGCGGACACACACAAGAGGGGACCTTGCAGATAACTCCAGGGGCAAAGAAAGGGAAGACAGGCCCGGGGTGGTGGCGCACGCCTGTCATCCCAGCACTCGGGAGGCCGAGGCAGGAGGATCGCTGGGAGTTCGAGACCAGCCTGGGCTACATAGTGAGTTCCAGATCAGTCTCAACTACATAGTGAGACCCTGTCTTAAAAAAAACACACACACAAAAAGGGAAGACACTGTAAGCCGCTCAGAAAGCCGAGCCGATTAGACACAGCAGGACAGACACAGCAGGACGCTTGCTCCTAGAGTCCACCCACACCTGAGGCGATGAAGGGAGCCCGCATCCTCAGCCCGGGGTTTGTACGGGAAGCAGGAGCGACCCCGCGGGCGCCGAACACCGTTTGGCGGTGAGATCCAAGGGACGGTAGGAGCCTCGGTCTGCACGTCTCAGTCTTCCTCTGTCACACGTTTTGACTCATACATAGCAGGCGCCTTCTTCAACCCAGACCCACGTGCGCGTCGGTGCCTGACCCAGGAGGCTCCGGTAGTGGAGTGCTGGCGCCCCCTTGTGGCAGAGAAATATCCAGCTCGTAGACTCCGGGAAACGCTCCTAGGACAAAGCCTCCCGCAAGAAGGTCACTGGGACTTCTGGGCAGGACGGCGATGGCCGAGGAACCACCTTTCAGTTTCACAAGGGTCATCAATCTTTGAAAGGCAGTCAGAGACCCCGGCACACAGCCGCGGCCTCCAGCTTCTCTCTGAGCTGTCTTCCCGTTCTTTACCTTGCCTTAGACCCTAACCGACATCCGTCTCGCCACCCCGGCTCCCACGGTGCCTTCCGAGGGTCGCGCCTTTGTCTTTCGGCGCCGTGAACTCCCGCCTGACCCTACAGCTCCAGATGGCTGCAGGTCGGCGAGGAGGCTGCAGGGCCAGCCGCGTCCAGCCGTGACGCCCGCGGGTGTCTTCGCTGGGTGAACCCCCCTCTCCGCTTGACTTGGGGAGCAGAGGCGGCACAGAGGGCGTGTAGCTTTCTAGGGCCCGGGCGGGCTAGGACAGAGCACCCTCCGAGTCTCCAAATGATGCCAGCGTGCACAGCGCCCCGTGTCCACGCGTGCGTGGGAGACAGTGCAGGGTTCGATCTCCCATGCACCACAGGCGAGAGGACTCTCCGGCTCTCAGTTCTTACCTGCCAAGCAGTTAGATGCTATAAAGACATCGGGTAAATTGAGTTCTGGCACGGGGGCGGGGATTTAGCTCAGTGCTGCCGCCACCTGCCTAGAAAGCGCAAGGTCCTGAGTTCGATCCCTGGGACAAAAATATTTTTTTAGTTCTTACATAGTCCGACACGATATTCCGGCTTCATGAACAAGAACGGTGGGGCCGGGGATGGTGCTGCCACCTGTCTCGCAAGCGCAAGGTCCCAAGCTCAATTCCCAGGACCAAAAACAAAAACAAAACAAAAAACAAGAAAGAAGAAAAAAAGAAAGGAAGGTGTATTGCTCGGCTTTGGAGGACACGGAGAGGTTAGTCCGAGGAATAAGGTGACTAAGGTTGGATCCCTATGCCCTGAAAACCCACAAACACATATACACATATAAGCAGTTCTAATATAAGACAAGGAGTTGAAGTGGACTGGACGATCATGGCAAACCATATATAATTGTTTTTAAAGGTAGTTTCATTGTGTAGTTCAGGCTAGACTTGAACTCATTATATTAGCTCAGGATGGCCTCGAACTTGCAGTGATTCTCCTGCCTCAGCCTCCTGAGTTCTGGTATTACGGGCATGCGCCACCACACCAGGTGGGAAAGTTTTGGAAGAAGGGAAGTTGTGGTAAGGTGAGGGAACAACCAAGGAAAATCTACCAATGAGGGGCTGGGATCCAGCTCAGGGGGAGAGCACGTCTCTAGCATGTGCAGCCACCACACACACACACACACACACACACACACACACACGCACCCCCCAAGATCCACCACACACACACACACACACACACACACACACACACACGCACACCCCAAGACTACAGCACAGTCTATGGTCATTACAGAACAGTAACTATGCTAAAAGGACTGAAGGGCCTCACCCGTGGACTTTGTCGGATTGAAGAAGATGAAGGAAATAATCTCCTCATCACAGCAAGAAGGGCTGAGGCAGAAGATATGTGGATCTCGCACATAGCTCAAGCTATATTTAAAAATGGAACTTGAGATCTCTCCGCCGCATCAGCAGCTATTCTCTGCCTAACTTTGGTGGCCTTGGGTATTAGGCTAGAGCCACCCCTGGATGTCAGGCAGTAAAGTTAAAGGCGGATGATAGGACCTGGTAGGAGAGGGAAGGGCCTTAAATTGGCTCTGGAGGTGACTCTACGAACAAAGCAGAATGCCTAAGATCTCATATAAATGCAGGCTGGGACAGGGAGGTCAGATTCCTGGGTCAGGAGGACAGTCGCTGCACTCAGGTGGTGCAAAGTCTGCCCCCATGGGAGAGGGACGGATTGAGCCCCTCTGAACTGGGGTATATGGAGTGGGAGAGAGAGACAGGGAGAGGAACCCTAAGCATCTTCTAGTGCCAGAAAGTGAGGAATCTCTCAAAACTCCCTAGGGATGGGTATGTGAGAGGGACACAGGCGCTGAGGTGAAAGGAGTTCCGAATGGTAAAAGTTGGAACAAATGGGCCGGGGATTTGGCTCAGTAGTTCTGTCACCTGCCTCGCAAGTGCAAGGACCCAAGTTCGATCTCTGGTACCAAAAAAAAAAAAAAAAAAGTTGGAACAATTGAGCAACAGAGTAAGTAATAACGTATGGCTGCATTGGACTGTATATAGTGCAGTGTGCTACAAGATAAACAGACATGAATGCATAGCAGTAGAAATCAGTGGCTGAGCTGGGCGTGGTGATGCACACAAGTAATCCCAGCACTCAGAGGACCGAGGGTCGCCTCGAGTTCAAGGCCAGCCTGGGCTACATAGTGATACCCTGACTCAAAAAAGAAAAAAAAAAAAAAAAGAGGAATGTTTGAATAGAGTATGAGGATGGCAGACAAACCTTTTCCACATGAGAAATCAGATAGATGAATGTAGATGCAGATGATATAGGTATCGACAGATCTACATCCCGCCCAGGAAATGGAGTTCAGTCATTCCACACCCCTCACGCCTCTAGTACGGGTTAGATTTAGGGACTTACTTCCAAAAACCAAAGTGTGGAAAGAGAAAAATAGCACATTTACAGTGGAGAAAACTCTCGGGCACGACCCTGAGCACGCAGGTGAGATTAGTATCCTGGCTGATACCATGCGAAGCCGAGCTCCCTATCTCTGGCACGTCCCCCCGCAACACATAACCTTCATCTGCCACACAAGTGCGAGGTCCTGAGTTTGATCCCCGGTACCAGAAAAGAAAAGAAAGAAAAGGTCCCTGTAAACAATGAACAGTTTCCGTGACTATTCTGATGCGACTCCTGTTACGGCTTGGGCTTAGATGTCCCCCAAAGCCTCATGCACTGAGGTGAGGCTGTTTTGGAGGTGGCTCAATCTAGAGCTAGGACGCTGGGGTTAAGGGCGTATGATTACTAAACCACTCCCCCTTGAAAATGTTCACTAGGCAGGACAAATTACTTGGAAGACTTGCTCTTTTGAAACTTTGCTTCCTTACTCCCCACCTAATGACAAGTTGTCCAGCCTAATCCTAAAAAAAAACATAAGTGAGCTGTTCCTGAGTTTGCTTTTATGGCACGGGGACTCTACCAATCCCCTGTCCTCTTTGTTTTTTGGGGTGTGTGTGTGTGTGTGTGTGTGTGTGTGTGTGTTTTAATTTTGAGAGAAGGCCTCCTTAAATTGCCTAGGCTGGGCTCAAACTTTGGATCCTCCTGCCTCAGCCTCCTGAGAAACTGGGATTACAGGGGTGGCTGTTGCTCCAGGCTTTCTTGAAGTTTGAATGTGAGAGCAGAGCTTCAGGCAGTGGCAGAGGGGCAGACAATGGTGTCCAAGCAGGCACACTGGAATGCTCATTGTGATCTCACATGGAACCACAGCCTTGAGCCGGACTGTTCTGTGGCTGAGAAGGTTGGGTGATGGTGCTATTTTGGGGGCTGTTTATTCCACCGCCACCATATATCAACCTTCTCCTATCATTTGGCGTCCTTGTGTGTGGGGTCTATGTGCTGTTTGCTAGGTATCATAGCAGGAAGCAGGCAGCAGCCAAGACACATTCAGAGGTAGGTGACATCACTGTCCCTTGAGACTGTTCCTG